TGAAGGGATGATCTGGAATGGGGATTGCCGCCTCCTCCTCTGTGTATTATTTTGGCTCTTGATTTCTGGTTTTTCCCCCATCTTTGGGAGTGTTTTTGTGCTGCTGATTGGGTTTTTCACTTTTTTATTCTTGAAATGAGTAACACCTCTGAATCCAGTGGGAAAGCAAGGTTTAGTTGGTTCTTTCTCAGCTCCATGCTGTCAGGCTATCCACATATTATTCATTTGAAAGGTTTCTGTTCGGCCCTCTGTTGCCTAAGCATTTGGAAGAATTCCGTTTGTAATGTGAAAAGATCTCAGGTGAAAATGTGTTTGGGACTGGAAACAAACAAATCTAGTAAACGTGCAGAGTAAAATTATAATTTGAGGCAGGAAAAAGCCCCTTTTTAGTTTGTTGGCACAGTTCAGGGGTTCATTTGGACACAGAGCTCCCACAGACTGCCTGAGGCAATTTTCTTTTTAATACTTTATAGTTGGTGTAGGTGAACCAGAGCTCAGGCGTTCGTACCTGCTTGCACTCCTGTCGCTGTGTTCTCCCTTTGACTGCGCCATTCTGCGCTGGCTGGCGGCTGCTTTCTTGGGTGGGTGTCAGAGCACCTCTGTGCCTTCCGTGCTGCCTGTCGTTGAGGTCCAAATGAACTCTGAGCTGCGACTCATCACCTGCATCTCAAGTATTAGCAGGCCAGAGCCGCAAAGCTCGCGTGGAGCTGGGGAATGAGGACCGTGCTTTGATGTCTCATTACCCGCCAGCCCGTCGCTGCTCTGCGAAATGTTCCCAAACCCAGCTCAGATCTGTCTGCAGGAGGCACATCTCTAAGACTGACCTACAGAATTTTAGTTACTCCAGCATCTGAAGACCATGAGAATCTCCTGGTCCTCTTTGCAAGGAAGGTTCTGTATCAGAGCTGCCGAGTCCTCCAGAAGGGGTTAAATCCAGTAACTCTTTGGGATGCAGTGCTGCTTTTTTGGCCATTGATTCTCCCCTTTCTTCCCTGCCCATGTGGAAATTGCAGGCGGTGGGAGGTCGGAGTTTGGTCCCAAGCTGGTTTGCTCTCATCTGCACAACACTGACACTGGGAGAAAGAACTGTAGGAACCCTTCAGGTGGTTGCCATTAACTCATGGGACAGTATCAGTTAATGAAGGAAGAAGTTACAATTGGTCCATTTTAACACGTGTTCCCCATATCCAGGATTGTTCCAGAATCTTTAGCCTCTGCTGAATTAACAACTTCACCTTTACCTCCCTGTTCAACATCACTGTAAAAAAATTGCGTGGTTTCTTTTCCATTTGTTTTTCATTGTTTGTAACCTTTTCTTAGAAGTGTGGAAATAATTTCCCTGACCTGTTTTATGCACCGAAATAAACTCTTCACTGACCACCTGAGTCCCCTCCCCACGTTTCTTACGCAGTGCCTGCCACGGTATCTTTCCGTATTTTTACCCCAGCCTTTGCCAGCTGTCAGTAAAGATCATTACAAAGTCATATAACTCCTGCTGATGGGTATGCTGCACTGTTGGGAATGGTCAGGAAAGGGTCATCCCTTTTCTCAACGGTAGAATACATCTGAAAAAGTAATTTGCTTTGGAGAACAGACCTGCCCTGGGTCAGACCTTTAAATGCAGATTATTTTGGCCTGTGCTTGTTAAATTCAGGTTTGAATCTTTTACTCTCAGATAATATTTGTGCAAATTGTGCCTTTTTTTCCGAGTAGGTGGGTAGAGCCCTGGCCTGTCGGGTTTGCTCAGCCTCTGCCCGTGAGGCTCCCTCGCTGCACATGAAGGCTCCTGACTCCCAAGGAGTGACCTTGTGTCGCTGGAGAACCTGCGCCAGGGACGGGGTGGAAAATCAAAGCCGCTGCTTAATTGCAGTGAAGAAAGAAAAGTCTTGATTTGAAAGCCCTCGAAAGGGGAGGGAGAATTGCTGTCCCTTAGGCACATTTTGTCGGAGTTCGGAGTATTAACAGTGAGGGGATTGTTGCTGTAAATAAGGACAATTAAGTCAGTCCTTGAGTCTGTCCCCAAAGCAGAGACCGGTTGCTTCTGTT